GATGCCCTCCTTCCTGGCGTTCCAGGGCTGGGGCTGAGCTGCCTGCCCTCCTGGCTCTCTGGGGCTGGGGAGTCTGAGGCCGCACCACCAGCCCTCCTGGCACTCTGGGGCTGGGGAGGCTAGGGTCACATCGCCCACCCTCCTGGTGCTTCAGGTCTGGGGGCGCTAGCCTGGGGCAGGGGCTGGCGGCTGCAGTGGTGGGGGTCTCTGGGTTCTTGTAAAGGGCATAGTAACAATTTTCACTCAAACCTATACTATGGCCAACCTGCACAATTATAAATCAGACCCCTTCAGAACCACTTTTAAGTATCTCCACAAAGTTACTAGCACAGTGTGGTTAATGTAAAAGACCAGGTTCTACTACAGAACTGTTTGCTGCTGGTCCCATGGGGAGAATTCACAAGGTCTGTGACAGTGGTGTCTATCAAAATATTTACCTCCCAATTACAGACTAATACTTTGTGTTCACATAGTTCAAATCATTATACAGGCATTAACTAATTAATCCCTTTGAGGGTGATTGCTCAAAGTACCACGCTGCATCAGCAGTAGAGCTGAGATAGAAAACAGGTCTCCTGACTCCCGAGCTGGTAGACCACACTGCCTCTTAATGGAACAGCATTTTGGCTTTCTGCTTTGTATTTTGTTGTTCCATCCCTCACACTGGGTCAGACATTCTCGCAAGTCCTACCTTGTGCATTACGCAAAACAGAGTTAAGTGCTGTTTAGCATGGGTGGGTTTTCCAGAAGAAACCTTGAAAAATTTATTCCCGCCTGTGCTAGTGGATGGTAAAGACTCTGGGACAGTTTTTTGAAGAAGCAAGGGTTTGCCTTAGTCTCTTTGCCCAAAATATCCCTTCTGGAATGCAGTGTGTAATATGCCAGCTGGTTGGCACCCTCCACTCCAGAGAAAGCTGCGTCTCAACACTACTTTCTGTACACCCTGTAGTCTGTGAAGTGCTGTGGGATCTTCTGCGATGAGCGGCACTATATAAATGTAAAATATGATCGCTGTAGTTTCATTTTAATGGTTAGCATTCCATACGTGCACAGGAAGGCTAAGCCCTACTGTCTGCCTGACGTGATTTGTGTGCTCTAGGAGTGGACCCAAATATTAATAGTGCTGATTAAATAATGGAGAAAGTAGAAAGTCTCTTCAGATATTGAATCTCTTTATATTTACAATCCTATTAAAAAAAGGAAGTTTAGTATGAAAAATGGGCATATCTTCAATAACATATATATTTTTGTAATAATCTCAAAGAAAAACAAAACACCCTAGGAGGTTTGCTGATATCTCTTGGGACACAGCTAAACTATCTCTTCTAAACACAGCAGCACAAACACAAATAACTTTGAGATTTAAAATTCAGACAGCTAAAGTATAACTCAAGGCAAGTCAGCAGCAAGAGCCTCAGTGGGACCCAGTTCCCTCATACACCAAAAGTATTCACCATTTCTTGGAGGGTGGGGAGGATCCTGATAAAGGGGATAATTTTTTTTATTGTGAAGATTGAAAAGCATCATCTGTCAAAAGCACTGTGGACAGTTATCTATTTCAGAAATATGCACTTGAGCAATGTGTACACTGGTCTAAAATTCCATTAATGCAGGCATCAAAAGTTACAGAATTTCCTTTGCAGATATATATCAGCAAACTGCTGGAATACCAGTAAATAATCAAAAGACCTTAGAAAAAGAGCAAGGATTAAACTCATTCATCACTAACTAGGACAATGAATACAAAAGCTACAGAAAGAAAAAGATAAACACTGTAAACTTCTATTGTATTGTTCTTCATTTATTCCTGCATGCCAGAAGGAGAAATAGCAGAAGCGCAATTGGTGGTACAGTTAGAGACAAGTAGACAGAGAACCCTTTTTTCTCTTTACAACAGAACTCATGGCCTGTGAGCAAACACTATATGTGCAAAACCTGGATATGGTCAGAAATTCGTAATTCTCTCTTCGGTGTGTTAAGGGAGCCCTAGGACAAAAAGCTATTGAGCTTAATTCTACCCACTGCCAAGCATGCACACAACCTCCCTTGATCTGGAGGTGTGTCAAGTTGGAGCTCAACATTTAGTCCCACAGTCCCCACAATTTTATAACATATAGTTGTGTCTCCTCTGAAGCAGACGTACTGTGCCATTCTTCAGTCATTTGTGCCCATGTCCCCACAGCAGAGCTACAGTCTATACCAGCTTTCAGAGTAACAGCCGTGTTAGTCTGTATTCGCAAAAAGAAAAGGAGTACTTGAGCTGTAGCTCACGAAAGCTTATGCTCAAATAAATTGGTTAGTCTCTAAGGTGCCACAAGTACTCCGAGTCTATACCAGCAGCCTTTGTGTCGTCTGGGCTGCAGATGATGCATGAGATGATGTTTTGATTTAATAACAGACTGGAGGAGCAGTTCATGTGTGCACCAGAACTGGCCCCCTGATAAATTCTTGCCAGATTAAGGGCTCAGACCTGCTATTAACTCCATGTGGCCGCAGGTGTCCACTGCAACAGAGTCGGGGGGGAAGGGCCTTAAGGGCCTTATCCAAAGGCCATGGAAGTCAATGGGAAAGGGCTGCTATTGTCTCCCAATGGGCTTGGGTCAAGTGTTGTAAGGACCTGTTAGTACAGATGCTTGTTACTGAGCCTCCCTCCTTGTTAATGTTTGCTTCTGACCCCAGCAGATAGATATTCCCAGCCTCAGCAAATTGATGCTGTGTCTCTCCTCCTTCTCCCCAAGTCACACTGGGCCTCCCTGCCCTCACCCCTCCTTTATATTGTGCTGCCCCCAGGGCTGGATTACAGTTATGAGGGGCCTCAGGCTAATCGGAGGGAAGGGCCCAAGTATGAATGATGTATTGCAAAAAACTTATGATGTTATCAAACATTTCTCTACATACATATTTAGATATTATTTATGTATGTAAAATTAACAAGTTTATTCTACTCTCACGACACTCAATTCTTCTGAGATACTTCTGAGTAAGAGGTAGCACAAGGGATGCTACGCTGTCCTTCTCTTAGGCCTCCTTCCTCCGAGGTAGTGGAGTGCTCATCTGCATGAGGATGAATTCTGCAACATTCTCCATCCTGCTCACCTCTTTCAACCTTGTGCTTCTACCCTCAGCTCTCCTCATGGCACAGTGCAAAGCCAAGCCCTGCAGGTGTTTCCCCCAGGCTATGGCCTCTACACCACATAGCCTATCTCACTCTGACTGCAGTCTGGGAGGCAGCCAGCTTTTATTATATAAAAGAAAACCACTCAGGTGTAAAATCCGCTGAAGTAGAGGAAGTAGTAGTGGGAAAACTACATTGGGTGGCATTGTATTTTAGGCTGTCTTGTTCTGAAATATGCCTCCCAGTGTTGCACTGGTTGAGGACAATGAATTACTGTTTTCACATTGAACCCAAATATTATTTGTGGGGTGATAGCCAGTTTATGTAGTTAATCTCCAGTGATTCACCACATCAGGCCATTCCGTCACCAAGCTCTTCCACAATTAGAATAATAGAATAGAATCATAGGACTGGAAGGGACCTTGAGAGGTCATCTAGTCCGGTCTTCTGTACTCATGGCAGGACTCACTATTATCTATTCTAGAATGTGTGATCAGCAGCTCTGACATGATTTTTGTAAGCATGAGTTCTTTGTGCACCAGCCCCCTATGGTTTGCATTTGTTTGTTTTAAGCTTTCTGTAAGAAAAAAGGAAACAGCTTTTTAGAAGTGACTCAGATCTTTAGATGGTTGCCCAGTCATAATATTTAGCACTTCTGTACTATGTTAGCTCTTCAAAATCACTGTACAAACATTAAACAAACTTAATCTAAAGCCTGTCAGCTTTTGAATGACAAGGAATTGACAAAACAGAGCTATTCCCTGTTGTGTTTTCTGCCCCCCTGAACAAAAAGACTTCATTGAAAATCAGCATCTTAAAAGAACCATTAAGGATCTTTCAAAAGAACAGTCCAACCAACGCTGCTGTAGTGACACCCTTGTTACATCAGGTCTGGCGTTTGTTTAAGGCTGGTGTAGAATGAAGGGAGAGCTTCCTGTTTCATTTGCATGTGTAAATCAAACAGACCTTGCTTATTTTTTTCCCTTAAAGTGCTGAGAGTTTAGGGGAGGAAAGTGAATGAGATTCTGCTTATATCAGGTATGAAAAAGCAGAAGGGACCAAAATCTATTCTTGTGCAAAAATCTGTTCTCCCTGAAGTCAATAAGGCTGCACAGGTGTAACTGTCAGCAAAAATTGGCCTGTGTTCTCATTCCCTTCTCAAATCACACACATTCCATGCTTACCCAACATTTCCACTTGGGAAGGAAGTTAGTTTGAGTTGGGGCAGAAAAATGACTTATTTCAGGTTTATTTAGCTTTAAGTTTTTGTAATGAAACTCAAAAGAAATCAAATGTGAGGTACTTTTCTGATGGATTGAATTGCTAGAGAACCAGCAAATGCACAGAACCTGCATTTAGCCTATTCAGCCAGTCTTTCTATCATAGCCTGCTAAGAAGTGGATTTAAAATCCTTGAGGGAGAGGGGAGGGAGAAACCTACAACATTGTGGGTTGAGCTTCCTCCAGTGCTTTTGCAACCCCTTAAAAGTACAAAGATGTCTTGGCCTGTGGAGCTAGGCTGAGCATAAGGAAAGAACTTGGTTGTCTGTGCATCCCAGTACAGAAATATTCATCAAAGAAAAAAAATGTGATATATTTGATTTTTAGTACAGTTCAATACAGTATTGAACACAGTGCATCACAAATCTGAAGCCCCTTGATGGAAGGTACTGTAAAAGTTAAAGTATTGGTATCCAGAATGGGATGTTTTATTTTGTTTTTCCTACAAATGTGTGGAAATTTGTTCCTTATACATGGTAGGGGCAATAGTTCTGGCTGGAGCGGGATAGAGTGTGTGCAGGTTCTGTGCAAGCTTCCGACCCTACTGCCCTGGTATTGCCTCTTCCCCCCGCCACCCTCTTGCCCTGCCCCCCAAAGGCACTCACCAGTTGTCCAGAAACGGGACCCAGCACACATAGAAGATGATGGTTACCGGCACTAGGACTCAGGAAATGTCCTGGAGCTGCCTTCCAGCCTCAGCGGAGGAGAGGGACTGAGGGAGCTTCTTCCCTCCCTGACAGCTAAGCAGAGCTCCAGAGAAATTTGTGGTGGGGGACAATGCCTGCTCAAACTATACCCCCGGCTGGCACGAGTGCCTGTGGTAACTGGATTTTTAGTGTCCAGTCACCAGTATTAACCGGATATCTGGCAGTGTATTCCTGCAGCGTGGGGAGAAACAGCAGGCTGCTGGCTGGCTGCCAGCTGAACTCCTTCCAAGCCACGGGGGGCTGCTTTGCCTTTCTTGCTGGCAGGAGCACTCCAGCAGGGCTGCATGAGCAAGCTCACTTCCCTGCCTCACCTGGCACCAGCCATACCCCCCGTCTGACCAGGGTCTAATGTTATAGCCTTATTGGCCTATGGATTAATCCAGCCCTGGCTTTCCCCTCCCCCTATTATAATGTGCCTCCCCATCATTCCCAGTCTATACTCTCCCTCCCCCAATTATACCCTGCCTCCCACTTCCAATTTATACTGTGCCCCACTCCTACAAATTCACATGGTGCCTCTCCTCCCTGCAGCCCCCAAACTCCTAGTGTGCCTCACCCCATTTATCTACAGGCTCCTTTCCAGGGCAGGAGGCAGAGGAGAGCTGGTTCTCTCCCATGCTGTGCTGGGTGAGTGGCACCATTGCTAGGTGCTCCCCCACTGTTGGGCTGAAGCAGGCCCAAGCAGAGCAGCTATCTGCTCCCAGGTGCTCCCTCAGGCCAGCCAGGAAGCAGGAAATGCCTGTTCACCCTCATCAGGTGGGATATGTGATGCTGCCAGTCAGCTGGGGTGGGGCAGGGCAGAGAAATAACATTTTTACAGAGGGTTTCTAGCTTGGTGGATGCTGCAGAGAGCATCTGGTTGCAGGGTGGGCAATGCACTGTACCACATCCCCATGGAGAAAGGGTCTGTGTGGGAGAGAAGGCACTGAGTTTGGTTTTGTGTAACCTCACTGATCCACAGGTCACTAATCTAGTCTCTTTGCAAGTCCAACAAAAATCAGTGGACTCTCCCTACTTCTTAGCTAAGATCTTCTTGGCGTGTCCTCTTACTGCTTGTGGATGGGTTTGGTCACAGAGACCCCTTGGGACTGTCACCTGACGTGCTGGAATTACCTCTGAGCCCATTTTTCCTGCCAGCTTGGGACTCCAGAACCCTGCCTTGTTGAGCCAGACATGCTAGCCTTCTGCAACACAGACCCAGGTCTGGTCCATGCCCCCAAAGCTGCAGACTTTAACCAAAAACTGCTCAGCAGGTCACCTATCTCCAGCACCCAGACACCCAGCTCTGAAACTCCAAATAAATCCATTTTACTCTGTATAAAGCTTATACAGGGTAAATTCATAAATTGTCTGCCCTCTATAACATTGATAGGGAGATATGCACAGCTGTTTGCTCCCCCAGGTATTAATCACTTACTCTGGGTTTTCTAATAAACAAAAGTGATTTTATTAAGTATAAAAACTAGGATTTAAGTGGTTTCAAGTAATAACGGACAGAACAAAGTAAGTTACCAAGCAAAATAAAACAAAACACGCAAGTGTAAGCCTAATATATTAAGAAACTGTTTACAGGTAAATCTCACCCTCAGAGATGTTCCAATAAGCTTCTTTCACAGACTAGACTCCTTCCTAGTCTGGCCCCAATCCTTTCCCCGGTACAGTCCTTGTTAGTTCCAGCAGGCACTTAGGTGAAAAGCAGGGGCATTCTCATGACTGGGACCCCCCTTTGTTCTCTTCCACCCCCTTTTAGAGCTTTGGCACAAGGTGGGAATCTTTTGTCTCTCTGGATCCCCACCCCTCCTTCTAAATGGAAAAGCACCAGGTTTAAGATGGATTCCACCATTGTTCCTGGGCTGGCTTACATGAACACAGGAAGGCTTGCAAGTAAACAGAGCCATTTACAACCAATTGCCCTTGTCAATGGAAGCCATCAAGATTCTAAACCATCATCAATGGCCCACACTTTGCATAATTACAAAAGTACCTCAGAGCTATAATTTATATATTTCTAGCTTCAGATACAAGAATGATACACACATACAGATAGGATGAACACACTCAGTAGATTATAAGCTTTGCAATGATACTTTACAAGAGATCTTTTGCATAAAGCATATTCCAATTACATCATATTTACACTCATAAGCATATTTCCATAAAACATTATGGAGTGCAACGTCACACTGCTTCCCACCACATCTGTGCGATTGCCCGATCATTTTACTCCACCAGGTCACTGGAAGAGCATTTGCACTCAAGCCACAGACATTGTAGGAGATGCTTCATATTTTGAGGCTCTCTGACATAGTCACAAGGATTGGGGCTGTCATAAATATAAAGGGAAGGGTAAACCCCTTTAAAATCCCTCCTGGCCAGAGGAAAAATCCTCTCACCTGTAAAGGGTTAAGAAGCTAAAGGTAACCTCACTGGCACCTGACCAAAATGACCAATGAGGAGACAAGATACTTTCAAAAGCTGGGAGGAGGGAGAGAAACAAAGGGTCTGTGTCTCTCTGTGGGTGTGCTGCTTTGCCGGGGATAGAACAGGAATGGAGTCTTAGAACTTTTAGGTTTCAGAGTAACAGCCGTGTTAGTCTGTATTCGCAAAAAGAAAAGGAGTACTTGTGCCCCAAGTACTCCTTTTCTTTTTAGAACTTTTAGTAAGTAATCTAGCTAGGTATGCGTTAGATTATGATTTCTTTAAATGGCTGAGAAAAGAATTGTGCTGAATAGAATGACTATTTTTGTCTGTGTATCTTTTTTGTAACTTAAGGTTTTGCCTAGAGGGATTCTCTATGTTTTGAATCTAATTACCTTGTAAGGTACCTACCATCCTGATTTTACAGGGGTGATTCCTTTACTCCTATTTACTTCTATTTCTATTAAAAGTCTTCCTGTAAGAAAACTGAATGCTTTTTCATTGTTCTCAGATCCAAGGGTTTGGGTCTGTGGTCACCTATGCAAATTGGTGAGGATTTTTACCAAACCTTTCCCAGGAATTGGGGTGCAAGGATTGGGAGGATTTTGGGGGGAAAAGATGTGTCCAAACTGCGTTTCCCAGTAAACCCAGTTAGAGTTTGGTGGTGGCAGTGGTTATTCCAAGGACAAAGGATAAAATTAATTTGTACCTTGGGAAAGTTTTAACCTAAGCTGGTAAAAGGAAGCTTAGGAGGTTTTCATGCAGGTCCCCACATCTGAACCCTAGAGTTCAGAGTGGGGGAGGAACCTTGGCCCCCAAAATCTCAGCTAGGGTGAAACACTGGCTGGGATTTCTTCCTGGAGCTCTAGGAAAAACAGAGTTAATAAGACATATGCATCTCTAAATATACTGCCAAGTACATAAAGACTAACAATATTTTCTACATCTCAAGGACGATTTTAACCAGTTGATTCTGGGAAACTTTCACAGGAGAGTGCATCAGCCACTTTGTTAGAAGCTCCTGAGATGTGTTGGATGTCGAAATCAAAATCTTGGAGAGCTAAACTCGACCGAAGAAGTTTTTTGTTATTTTCTTTGATGGTGTGAAGCCACTTCAGTGCAGCATGGTCGGTTTGCAGGTGGAAACGCCGTCCCCAAACATATGGGCGTAGCTTTTCCAGAGCGTAGATAATGGCGTAACATTCTTTTTCAGTGACTGACCAGTTGCTTTCCCTCTCAGACAGTTTTTTGCTGAGAAACACTACAGGGTGGAATTCTTGATCAGGTCCTTTCTGCATTAAAACTGCTCCCACACCACGCTCGGACGCATCTGTGGTTACTAGGAACGGTTTGTCAAAGTCTGGGGCCCTTAGTACAGGGTCAGGCATGAGTGTCGCTTTAAGCTTGTTAAAGGCCTTCTGACACTTTTCGGTTCACTGAACGGCATTTGGCTGTTTCTTTTTGGTTAGGTCTGTCAGTGGGGCGGCGATTTGGCTGTATTGCGGTACAAATCGTCTGTAATAACTGGCCAAGCCTAAGAAGGATTGAACCTGTTTCTTTGTCCTGTAGGGGGCTGATAGTTCCTTGACCCACCTGGTGTCCAAGGTAAGTCACTCTGTTTAGGCCTATTTGACACTTCTTAGCCTTAACAGTTAGTCCTGCCTCCCTTATGCGCTCAAGGACTTTTTGTAGATGTTCCAGGTGGTCTGCCCAGGAATCCGAAAATATGGCCACATTGTTAAGGTAGGCGACTGCATATTCTCCTAATCCCGCTAGGAGACCATCTACAAGTCTTTGGAAGGTGGTGGGTGCATTTCGCAGCCCGAAAGGGAGTACATTAAATTCATACAGCCCGAGATGTGTGGTGAAGGCTGACCTTTCCTTGGCAGATTCATCTAGAGGTACCTGCCAGTACCCCTTGGTTAAGTCCAAGTTAGAGATAAACTGGGCCCATCCCAGTTTCTCTAATAGTTCATCTGTGCGTGGCATTGGATAGTTGTCTGGGCGAGTTACAGCATTTAGCTTACGGTAGTCCATGCAAAAACGTATTTCCCCATCTGGTTTGGGAACTAGAACCACTGGAGATGCCCATGCACTTCCAGAGGGGTGGATTACACCCATCTGTAACATATCCTGGATCTCCCGTTCTATAGCAGTTTTAGCTTGAGGAGACACCTGGTAAGGTTGGACTTTAATTGGGCGAGCATTACCTGTGTCAATGGAGTGGTATGCCCGTTCAGTCAGTCCTGGGGTGGCTGAGAACGTTGGCACGTACCTAGTGCACAGCTCCTTGATCTGCTGTCGCTGCATACGCCCAAGGGTCATGGACAGGTTCACCTCTTCCACACCACCAGCACTTTTCCCTTTGTAGTAGATACCTTCAGGCTACTCAGCGTCGTCTCCTCCCTGGGCTGTAAACTGACAAACCTTTAATTCTCTGGAATAAAAGGGCTTTAGAGAATTAATATGGTACACCTTAGGCTTTCAGTTGGAGGTGGGGAATGCTATGAGATAATTAACAGCTCCCAGGCGCTCCTGGACCGTGAATGACCCTTCCCACGATGCTTCCATTTTATGGGCCTGAAGCGCCTTTAAGACCATGACCTGGTCCCCTACTTTGAAGGAACGCTCTCTGGCATGTTTATCATACCAGATTTTTTGCTCTTTTTGAGCATCCTGTAAGTTTTCTTTAGCAAGGGCTAAAGAGGTTCGGAGGGTGTTTTGTAGGTTGGTTA